TTGCGCAGAAGGAGAGGAAAAAGTTGAGGTCAATCGAGTACAAGAGCGAAAAGATGCCATCTTAAACTGGCTAAGTCCACGTATGAGCGAGAGCTTTGTGCCCTCTATAGAGCGCTGGTCTATTGGAGGCACGACCTTCTCGGCAGATTCTTTTATGTGAGATTTGACCTTGAGACGCTGCGCTGGATTAAGACACAGCCCTATTTAGTGGGGTGCGTCGCATCATGTGCGTGTGCATGCTTACACGTGCGTTATGCGCCGTGCGTGCGGAGCTCGCGCGTGCGCGATGCGACGCAGGTATGGGTTGGAGTATAGGCGGAGTGTAGGGAATATATAGGGAATATTGGGGGCGTTAATAAGGATGTTGGGTGTGGTTCGGGAGTGTTAGGTTGGTGTATGCGGGTATTGGTGGCCGCTATGGGGGTGTGGGTGGGGTTATTAGGGGTTATGGATCCCCCCCCAAAAAAAAAAAAAAGGTGTGGGGTGCCGACGATCCCCGACTGTTAGGTGCCGACCAGCCGATCGGTCGGCGGGCCGGCAGCCGACCAGTCAAAGGCCTCCGACTGTCGGGGTGTGCAACACTGAAGTACGCCAGACTGACCGCAATGCCTGAGACCGCGAAAACTGACCACCTCATCAAACTGTTTATGGATAACTGGGTTCGTGATTTCGGTCTGCCAAAGTCCATCATTAGTGACCGAGATGTTAGATTCACTAGTGAACTGTGGCACAGCCCAGCAGATGGGCCCAGCTGCAAATGACATCAGGGAATCACCCTGAGTCCAAATGGCCAAGCAGAGCCGATGAACCGGGTAGTGCAACACCTGCTTCGACATTATATCAAACCAAGTCAGGACAACTGGGATGAGAAGTTACCTCAACACCTGCTTCGACATTATATCAAACCAAGTCAGGACAACTGGGATGAAAAGTTACCTCTTATCGCCAGTCTGTACAACAATGCTGTGCACAGCACTACCGGCATGACTCCCAACCAGTTACATCTTGGTTGGAAGCCCAGGTCTGCTCTTGACTTTTTGTTGCCCGAGAACCAGCCCACTGCAGCGCCAGGCAGCATACAATTTGCTGTCAAATATGAGCAGCTGCTGCAACAGGTTGTAGAGCATATCAAGAATGCTCAGGATGCCATGGTGGCATCTGAGAATAGGCACAGACGACCATCTTCCTTTCAGGTAGGGGACAGAGTATGGGTTAAATCATCTGAACTGGGTCAGGAAATGGGGATATCTAGGAAACTAATGCCACAGTATTTTGGGCCTTGGGAAATATTGGATATAGTGGGAGATCAGATTGATGGGCCTTCATATGTCATTCGAATCCCGCGTCATCTTCGTACACACCCTGTTTTCCATGCACCCAAGTTGGCACCTTTCGCTGAAACAGATCTGTTTCCCTCAAGAAAATCAATGCTGCACCCAACTATGGACGGACACGTGGATATTGACGACATCGTAGAGCACAAGCTAACGCTGGTGCCCAAGCTCCAGGCACGGGATACCCTCCGAAACCACAGATGCAGTATCGAGTGCGGTTCAGACATCATACTGATCCTAAAGAAGACCGGTGGTTCACAAGAGAAGAGTTAATGAAGACTTCTCCCCAGATTATCACAAGTTATGAAAGAAATTTGAAAGGGAAGCAGCCTGCTGTATAAGGACTTCTCAGGGGACTATCAAAGTAAAGGAGGAGGGAGTGTGATGATTTTCCCCTCGGCATACCAGCATAAGGCCCCAGGCAGCAAATGCGTGCCGGCCCTAAGTGAAGGTGGGCCCCTAAATATCAACGAGCCCTGAATTCGTCAATTTCTGCAAATCTTGTTGGCCGCCAGACAGTTGCCACGCGCCAGTTGGTCACATCTGTCTTGCTCGTGAGAATCTGAAATATTCTTGAGCCTTCCGGGCTCTTCCAGCAACGTGGTGAAAGCAGGGAGCACCGCACGTTTGTGCCTGGGTGGTTGGGCATGCCTAACCAATTCGGTCCCAGGCCACTGTCTGAACGGGCCTGGGCGCAGACACTTTGGCCCAACATGAAGCTAGATGGGACAAGTGCAGCCGAGCCCAGTAGCGAACTGGGCGAGCACTTTCCATATAGGAAAGAGCTTGCCAGGCATTCGGCATGAAGGCACTTGCGTGAGAGTGTGGTAGCGCTGATTGAGCGTGCACTCGCGTTCTGCTGCGCTAGCGCTGGTGTGCAGCGCCATAGCCCAGCGTTCATAGCCAGGCTGGGCTTGGATGTGTAGCTGGCAGGGTAGTGGTGGTCTTCGTGTATGAGGAGGAAGACGTGGGTGAAGAAGACGAGAGAGAGAGAGAGAGAGAGAGAGAGAGAGAGAGAG